CTCAAAGGAAGCAAACTATTATGCGATGCCATCTATGAATTAATCACGAAACTGCAAACACTTTGTAATGGTTGTCTTGACGGGAAGGGCAAATTCTTTCAAGTCAATCCTGCTTCACTTAAGACCTTAAAATATTTCAATAGCCAAGATAAAATAATGCAGAGCTTGTAATACAAACATAACTAATATAAAATATCTTTGACATACTCATTTACACTCGCAATTTATATATGAGCACGCAATAAACATCTTTCCTCTTGCTCACAAACAACATGACTTATAATTTCAATATTATATATATATATGACACTCTTGTATCTAAAATATTGTGATTCAGTTTCATTTAAGTATTTCTCCTTTCTCTCACTCTTACAGACCAAATTAAGAAACGTAAAAATTCAGTCTGATTTTGTATTGACAAACCTCTATTTCAAACTTGTTTGTATACATAAATTTCTCCTTCCAGGATGATATGAGAAGTGGCCAATTTTTATTTTCACATATCAGGTAATTATGATGCAAGAGACATCCAATTACTTTGCTTTTATACGCTACAGTTCAAAGTCACAGCTGCAACATATGTAGCAATCATGTTTTGTTACATACACTGCATTTTGGTGCATGAAGTCTCATAGTTCAGTGCAGCTGACTCACAGGTAGAACAGCAAAACATCTTACCCCATGGTCGAGACTTACTGATCTTTTCCAGGTACTACAAACTGCTTGGCCATACATACAGTTGTCAGGCAAATTAAGAACACAATTTCTCTCATTATTATGTATCATTTTACATTCCTGGCAAGGATAAAGAAATCTACATCTAAAGTGCATGTGCCCTTGGGGCATAAATCCAGAATTAGAAAATATAAAAACTGATAATGGTAACAAGAAGATAGAGTTTTGGAATTAACACTGAAATTCTGCTTAGACAATCAAATCAAATGCTGTAAAAATGTAGGGATAAATATGTTTTCTCTAAATGTTCCATGATGTATTTTCAGCTCAACTTAGTTAAAATTCATTACAGTCGAGATACAGGATGCGGCTTCACTTGGAAATTAAAAATAATTTAGAACCAACTGTTTTTCAGTCTTTCTAGAAATGAAATGTACTGATACCTCAGAGGATAACAACTAACAAATTAATATTCAATATTTAAAACTCTTAATTATAAGATGTTTATTACACAGTCACAATATCAGTGTTAATTTCAGTAGTGCTATTTTGCTCTGAATGACAACAAAATAAAAATTACAGACGAATATCAAAATGTCACGTACTATTGTCTTCGAATGCGATGGAATCTGTTCTCTGTCAGAAGACATTACATTGGCATGTTCAAAGAAT